TCGAGAACGAGGGTGGCACGCGGCCTCTTTGCAAGGTCCTGCAGGCGAGATCAGTGGAACACGGAGAGAGAGAGGGAAAGAGAGAGAGAGAGAGAGAGTATCTTCGAGATCCCTTTATAGGAGTTTCGAGGTTCACCAACAACGCCATCAAAGCGACGTCTCGCTTCGCCACGCACGCCAACCCTTCTCTCCCCATCAGGTTGTTCAAATACTCCGAGCTAATTCTGTTTGGCTTGTTTGTTCTGACGCTGTTCGCCCTTTCTCTCTACGGTCCTGTATATTAATAACCCCCATACTAGTCGTACTTATTATGCGGGGACTTTGGACTTTGATTCTCGAAAGCAAAGCGATTAGAACTGGCGTAAGGAAACCGGTAAACAAGTCGCTTCGTCCACTACGCGACCCGACTTCCCTGGTTAATTAACCCTTTCTTGCGTATTGTTCGATCCACGGAGAACTTTCGAAGTGACTGTCGCGTACAACCTTCCGTTCCTTTCGTTCGCCTTTGCCCATATTTACTTTTACACGATGCTCCTAATAAAACCTTCGTCGATTGCGAAGCAGCTACGTTCGTGCACTTTCTCGCTCGATAAACGCGATCGTAGTTCCACTGTAAAATCAATAATCGATGTCCTATCATCGATTTTTCACCAATTTTCTAACTACTAATTTTTTAACCGACTGTTCCAGCGATCATAAGCCGGGACAACATACATTTTTATAGCGCGACAAACCTTGTCCCGATTCGTATCTAGCTTCTACCGACGAGGTTCTTTCGTTTGACTTCGGATGACGCAGATTTCTACATTTCAAGTCGACAGATTGTCACCAAAATTAACATTCGTCATCGTCGCTCCGTGCTTCTTCCTTCTGTCATCTCCAAGTGTAATACAATCTACGTATACGTATGTGTTTTACAGTACGTTTAAAATCCCCTGTACTTGGTTCATAAATTTTTCAAAATGCAAGCTGACGATAACGTGTAACGCGCGTTAAAGCAGCGAATAACTCGTAGGTATCCTCGATTTGAAAATAGCAAGCTACGATATATATAAATTTTCCAATTCCCAGACAATGATGTCGAAAGTTAAGTATAGTAGGACGCAGGCTTCTTACCACTACCCGATACGTACATGACAAACGGCATCGATCTACGATACAATGCAATCGACCATTGGCGATTCGATAATACGTGTCGTTCTTTAAATAAATAAGCGAAGATGCATCATCGACGAATCTGAAGATAAACTACTCGGGATGTGCTAATCTCCGTTCCGAAGAACTCATTGGGCGGTCTTAGAGAGTTCGGTTTTAGGGAACGAACGCGATTTATCTCGCGTCTGGTTCGCGCGATTCTTTCGAGAAGCCATTGGTTAAGAGAGGATCAAGAAGCCGAGAAACCACTTTAGGAGGATTTCTCAGGACCTTTGTCCGATCGCCGGGATACCTGGAACCGAAACGTCGCGAGGAAAATAATTCTACGGAACGAAATACGCGCGGAGATTGACTTTAGGTCGATTCAAGGATTGTCGCGAGAAAGATAATTCTGCTAATAACTAATAAGCTTGGGGCGACATACGCGCGAAGATTGATTCGAGATTGCCGAGAGTAACCTCTTTCGTCGTCTTTTCTCGATCGATACCGACGAGCTAAGAATCCATGGAATTCGAAGGGTGAGCCGTTGTTCTTAGAATCGTCGCGCGTAATCGCCGAAGAACAAGAGAGCGCGCGGTCGATAATCGCGTATAATAAAATGTTTACAGACGACTTGGTAAATATCGAAACGAATCGGCCAGGAAATCACCGGCGGGT